ATAATAATAATAATAATAATAATTTTAAATAAAGGAGGGCAAAAATTCAGACATAAGACTATTACCAAGCAACAAAATAGATTACTAGGTAGTTACTTACTGCATCCTCTACCAGTGTGAAACAGTACTTCAGTTTTCTTAATATTATTGATTTTTACCTTTTAGGTTATGACAGCAATACAAATATTTCCGTGCTGTCTTATGACAATGATATACTTTGTAAATTGTTATTAAATTTTGTTATATTACCCCAAAGTAAAATAACAAACTCCAATTATGCACTTATTAAATAGTTTATTGTATTACAGTCTACCTCACTGATTCAAAGATTTTACTTGACCAACTTATCCTATTAAGATTTGATCTAACTGTCTTCATTCATAAGGCATATGGTTAACATATAGCACAATTTTTTGAGCCAGTAATCCATGGCCTGAAATAAATCAATCCTAGCAACTTTATCCATGAAAGGTCTCCAAATCTGACACTCAATCACTGATAAAAGAATCTTCCTTCTGAAAGCCAAGCATATTAGAACTTATTTTTCACTTTTGTATTGTCAACCACTTCATGTTTAAAAAGCCCCCCCGATACTAATTTTGAAGAAAAGTTTTGTACAGTTAAAAATCTTCATTAAAATATATTCCAAAGCCAAAATATTTCTGAAAAGAAACAGTCACTTTTGAAAGACAGTTGTTCAAGTGCCAACAGAAATTATTTGGTCTTACTCCACACTTGTCCTGTAATAAGTCTACCTCCTCTTGCCAATCCAATTTTATTGTTCTTCCATTCTCAGCAACATTCTAACAAAACATTTCAAGTGCTAAAAGAAAAAGAGAATTCTCAGTTTCCCAAACGCCCTCTCTAAGAGCTGTAGATATTCTTAGCTTCCATCCTCCATCGGTGAATAGATGCCCACAGGAGTACTGGCTTTTGAACTTACTTTCTTGCAAGGTTACAAAAAAAAAAAAGCATATATAATATAGGACATAACATTGAACTGACAGCTGTGTCACATGGATATATCTTCCTCTCATGTCTTCAGAAGAACAGTAGAAAAGGAGAAAAACATTTGCCTTCATTTAGACTTGTGGCTTACTCAAATCCATAATTGTAACAGGCTGGCCCTTCTTACTGTACTTGCTGAATAGCAGCTATGAAGAAAAGCTAGGAAGCATCAGCTGGGAAGAAATGGTGACAGCAGTGGCCAGAGCAAAAGGCAAGAGGAGTGCAAGAGTTTGTTGCCCTCCAGATGCGTTCATTTACCCACACACAAGTGCACCACGCTAACAAAAAATATTAAGACATTTGGTTACAGCTCTCCTTCCCTAACAGCATAAACAGGTCCCCTCCCCGCCCTGATATGTCACTTTACAGCAGACCCCTGGTACATTACAAGTAGTATCAGTCTCCAAAAGCTGACCTTTACCAGAAGCTCACAGATTCCCACCCAGTCCGATCCCTGCATACTCTTTAAATGTCAAGTTTTAACATGCTTAAACAAATCATTCTATGAAACAAGATAGTGCTTTGCACACACAAATGCCAGAGGACAGGATGTTCTTATGTGGGACTAGCAAGTTATTTGCAGATGTGCAAATAACAATTTACATAAATACAACAGCAGTAAGCACGGTAGCTATGCACACAGAAACCACCTCAGCAGTGTGAGAGACAACCAAAAAGCAGGCCTCCCTGACCTGTGTGCAATTCTACAGAAAGTGAAGTATACATGCATTGGAATTGTTGGCTTGGACTGCTGAGAAAGGGCTCTGCAACATCCAGGCACATCCTCATTGGTTATCAAAATGTTGTGGTCAATTTTGTACCAATGCTGAATGTGTCTCATTTATAAACACCTTCTAGGCAGTTTAAAAGAAAGAACAGGTTTTACTTCTCAATTTTTGAGCTCAGAAACACCTGTCTTAGGGTGAAGATGATGAAATAATCATTGTATTTTTACCTTCAACATGATGCAAAAATATCCAAGCAAATCTAGCTACTTGTTCTGAAGTTTTCTTGAATGTCATTTGTTTATTCTGGATTTAGTATACGGATTTCTATGACTTTGTTTCTTTATTCTGTAGTCCCAGTCTCTAGGATCAAGGTCAAGAATTAAAATCTAATGTGTCTCATATTTCTCTGATTTTATTATTTGGTACTTGTTTATAAAGCAGATGAAAGCAGTGCTACACAAAGTCTGGATTTGTAGATAATTATGCAAAGTTTTTGGTGAATGAATACTGAGACTTGTCTCTCTCTGAAACATAAAATTTTCATTAGGCCAATAATAAATTTATCATCTGGCAGAATCAATTTTACACGTAAGTAAAAATGAAAACAGCAATTTTACAACTTTATTGACATCTTGATGCAAAATCTGCAGCCTAGCTTCAGTTCTTTCTGGTCACTGTGAGAACCCTGACTGTCAGATAGGAGAGCAGAAAATACAATAGCTCAGGCAAGACCTGTTTTATGCTGTTGATGTCAAGAGCGATAGCTCTCAAGAGTACTAAATGCCAAAATGCTGGAGGTGATATGGATTCACAAATCATTTGCATTCCTAGGTACAGCAACCTTTTTTTGCTTCTAATATCTAGCATGCTACCAGAAGTAATGAAAAGTCCTCTGACATCTGTAACGGAAGCCACCACTGAGTACCTTCTTTACCTTACACATGGATCTATTCACTGATCACAGGTAGCTGCATGGTGCAAATGCAAAAGTATATGTTCCTATGAAAATGTTTTTTATAAGAAGGTGTATTCATTGCTGTCATTTTAAATAAAAATTAAAAACAAACAAAAAAAACCCCCAACCTGCCACTTTGAAAAACAACCAAAAAATTTGATATATACTTTACTAAAATTAGAAACCACCAAAATAGACTTATACCTTGCTTTGAGATAGTAGAGAAAGAAATAAGTCTTACACTGGAATTGCAAAATCACTAACCTGTGCACATATCTGATGCATTACATGACCAAATTCATGGAAGTAAGTCTTTACTTCATCATGTCGCAGCAATGATGGGTGATCTGATGCTGGTTTTGTGAAGTTGGTTACCAGAGCAGCTACAGACATCATTCTGCTGCCATCAGAGAGAAGACAGCCGGGTTGGAGACCAAAGCATGCTGCATGCCCATACTTTCCCTCTCTGTATAAGAAAATATATGAGACACTATCTTTAAACCACAAGCCTGCTCACCAGAATGGCGAAGCCTATTCAAGAACAGGGACAATCAGTCAGTGTCCCTTTAAAGCGTTACACAAAGAAATTACATGTTTTCATGACTTCTAAGACTGATGAAGTTTAAGATTCTGTTAAGAGCACAAGGGTAACAACCCCAGTACTTAAATCGCATCAGTTTAAGATTCACAGCAGCATTTACAAGAACCTGATTTTCACTCAAATACTGAAAGTATATATACTTGAGATGTCAATTCTATTTTAAACTGCTACTGTAACAGGAAGGACTAGGTTCTGTCCTCAGAAACAGTACTTTTTCTTTCATTACAGGAGACAAAAGAATACAGTTTACTGCACTTTCAGTGTGATCCAGAAGTTTAAAGAAAAATGATTTTGAAATTTTTGCTCTGAATCTAGGTAGTGAAGTCAGAAGAGTCTTACTAACAAATAGCTTCAGCAATTCACACGATATGCAGAAAGGGGAGAGCAGGCAAACAGGTGAAGGAGATAACATGTGCCTGTCTTAAAAAGAAGAATTTATGTACTATTGTATTGACTAACCTAATCTTCTTAACCAAGAGAAGCCTTAAATCAATTTATATTAAAAGAGGGTATCAGCCAATTTATAAAGTGCTAAAGAATAATTAACACACACCCCCCCCAACAGGAAGAAACGGTCAAAAAGGACTAGCTAAGAATAAATCATGTCAGATCAGTCTAGTCTCCTAATCTCTGACAGAACACAGATGATGCTGTAAAGAGCTACAAAGAGAGCTAGAGAGCTATAGAGATCAACCTAGAAGTACATTTCAAGGTGTGCTCAACAGGAATCCATTCTTGGTCCTAATTTATTTGACATTTTCTTTAGCAGTGTGGACAACAGGGTACAAAATACACATATAAAGTGTAAAGAGGAACTGGGAGAAACTAGGAACACTTGGCAGATAGGAATATAATTGATCTGAACACAATGGAGTAACAGTTTAACATAAATGAAAAGTAAAACACAGTATTACAGTTAGGAAGGAGAAAAGTTCATATTGGCAAAAAATTATGGACAACTCACTAGACAGCAATACTACAGAAAATGAACAAAGTAGTCATGCTTCATAAACTGCATATAAGCAAGAAATGCGGTAGTACTGCAAAAAAAGAAAAAGTGTAAACAATCTGAAAACAGTCCAGAGGACAACTTAATGAATGCAGTAATACTCCTGTCAGTGGGACAAATACTTACTTCAACCACACCAGCAACCCACTAAGACCAATTCCATTTTAAACACGTAAGTAAAACACTAAGTCATAATTACCTGGGGTAAAGGTCCAAATAGAACTGCCCTAACATTTCTCCTGTTGAATTATCCTTTACTGTATAAAGAGTAACGCTGTCGTGCCAAACATGAGCACTTTCTACTTGCTCAAATACAAGTCCCAGCAGCTTCTGGTAAATATTCAGTAAGCCTTCTGTAACAGCCTCAATTGGGAAGTATTCCTTCAGCTTTTCTTGATCTATGGAGTACTTCAGCTCTTCTGTTTTGTTCATATAATAATGAAGATCCCATGCATTGATTCTTCCGTCATAATCAAAGTTTCTTTCTTTACACTCCTTTTGCTTCAAATCTAGAATGAATTCTCTTTCTTCCTCAACCAATGGCTTTAGTTTCTTACTCAAATCATCTGAAACAAAGATTACCTTGAAATCAACTTCTGTGTTCCTTACTATAATGTGTATTCCTATAAAATATACTCATAACTTTAAGCACATGCCCCAAGAATGGGGCTAGAGTTTTCCTTTTGTTGACTAACAGCAAGCAAACTGTCTGCTTTCTTGTCTTAACGAGTTTTAATTGCAGGCATGCTATAAGTAATACAGGAGTCCACATAGGCCTAGCAGTACTGCGAAGGGTTTTGGTAAATTTAGACTTTTTCAAAGACATCAGGGATGGAAAGTAACACTACACACTTTTGCTTGAAGCCTTTGATTTTACCTCATGTAATCTCAGTTCTTTTGATGTGTTTCTGCAGAAACAGCCGAAGACTACAACTACTATTAGTTACTGGAAGTGCAACACAAAATTCAAACACTACTTTTTCTTTTCAAAGCAGATTATGACCTACTTCTAGCTAAAGTCCTGTAAAAGAACAAGAGACTAAAGAGTTCTTGCCTATACGATGGCTAGCTTCTAGACTACCAGAGCCACGGGATATTAATCTCTACGATCCCAATTTTTTTCCAATATAGCTTTTCTTAGACAAGAAAGGGTCATAACACTATGAATCCAATATATTATAAAATATTTAAGCTTAAATATTTAAGTATAAAATATTTAAGCTTACTGAATTTTCCATAAAGTACATACTGTACTTATGCTCTTGTAAGTATTTCTGGACTACCAGGCACTTTTTTCTTCCTCAAGAATTCAGGTTAATGTTCACTATTGGTATCTAGAGTGTAAAATTCAGGAATTGCCATTCCTGTTTCTAGGTAGGCTGTAAGGCACTTTATGCATTTACATAACTGAAATACTGTTTGCAGCTTCTATTACGCTAAATTCAGAATATGTCATAGGACAGAATGCTTTTCTTTCTAGCCACAAGATCGGTTTATGAACATCGATTTAAAACATGAATATATATGAACAAAGCAGAGCAAATCATACTGTCATGCTTGTAGCCAAGGATGTATCAAAATAACTAAATTAAAGCTGACAATTAATTTGATGAACATTCTCCCTCTACGAGAATTACCATGAAACATGATATTTATGAATAGAAAAGTATATGATCTCATGCTGTAAAAAATTAAAGTCACAACAATAACTGCTAAATGATGAGGTGTGTCAGCTTCAAAACAAATGAAAAAACACAGTATTATAAAGCCCATTTAGAATTAGAAAAATATAATCGATAGAAAAGAGTCCAAAATACTTTAAGTAGACCTAAAAAAATCAGGTAATTCTAACATTTAATTATAAATCAAAATTAAGTGTAAGTTCATTGACAAATAATTTGTATTGCCAAATATGGAGCTGAGCTCACACCATACAGAAGAAATGCAACAGAATTACAGGTGAAGGAAGAGGTGCATTTGAACTTCTTTACTGATCTATAAACACAAAAAACCCACTACCACCAAACAGATTTTATTGCTGTACTAAATTATTTTGGGGGGTTTATTTCTACAATATATCAACATACAATCCTAAGTGGTGTCAGGACACATTAATAAAGGAACACATACTATTCTGTGGAACTACATAATTCCAGAAAGTAGACGTTAACTCTATGCACAAGAGTGGGCCCACTGAGGTCAACAGGACGACTATAAATTCGTGAACTATTCAGAAAGCTCTGTTTTCAGTTCGAATTCCATTAGAGGGCTTTTGAATTCCAGATTTAGTCTATCATTCCAGATATTTTTTAATTCAGCTCATGGAAGTTGCATCATCACATACTGTAATCTTTCATTATATTTTATGTAGTTGTATCAGAAAAAGACACTAAGGCTACAGACGCACAAAAAATTGCAGCTAATCTAAGGGAATGAAAAGCTGCAACTGTGATGCAGCCTCTTGAACTGATAAAATTGCTTAGGCTGCACATGTTTTTCTGGTTCTAAATTAGAGTAACTTCATTTTGGGGCAGAGAAGGATATAACCACTTGCCTATATTGGCTGTCACAAAGCAGTTATTTTCAAATTTTTGTCTTGTGCTTCCCTGTTTTGGAGCAATTGCATTTGTACAGCTATGGTCTAAAAAAATACATGTCAGAACAGAGGCAACAGAGAGTTCCTTTTCTATCTAAACATGATGGACGCTATGACCCAATTATGTATTTAAATTTATCTTGGCTGAGGAGTCATGTTGCCACACCAAATATAAAAGTATTGTTTATAAATAAGAACAAACCTAAGAAGGCTGTTACGTTATCCGTGCTCTTTGCAGTGTTTACCTCCAGGACAAAGTTGGCATGGGTATTATAACCAAGAAGCTCTGCTACTTTTGCCCTTAGTGGAAGCAATTGCTGAAGAATTTTTGTGTTCTCCTAAAAAATAAAGAAGGCAAATTTGTAAAGTGAAACCAGAAAACGCATGTTATCGAAACAATTATCTGAATAGTACCTGTAATCATAAGAAACAGTAAACACTTAAAATGAAACACTTCAAGATATAAATATAGAATAATGTAAGTTTAGCTAGATTCTTGTAATTTTTTTGTCATAGCATTTGATTGCAGGTAGCTAGTCTTCTAGTCAAACTGAGTCATTATTCTCCCTATTATAATTTATCTGTCTTAATTAATCAAATGATATACCATTTCCTTTTAGGATAATAACAAATCTTTTGACTGTTGCGAAGACTTTATTTCCTTTATCAATTATTTAAATGTGAAATATAACAGGGAAATGGCTGACAGCAGGCTTAATTGGTTGTTAGTGGTGAAGACAGACTGCAGAGCTATTGTGCCAACATTCAAAGCTTGTTTGCAAATTCCCCTCTTTTGCCACCCTGACAATAGCAGTCAGAGAAACACAAAAACCCCAGGCCCTGACCTAAAAGTGGTGGAAGATCCTTGAGAAGGTGAAAATGTAACTGTGTTAACCTCCAGTTCTGGAAAAGTGAGATTTCTCAAGGAAAAACCCTTTTTTCAAGCACTAGGTTTGAAGATTGTCCCACAGTTTTAACAGCAAATCCCTTTAAGTATGCTGACTTGCAGAGTGTTCAGATCTTGGTGCCATTTTATCTTATCTTGTACTCTTCACATTTCCCAGCACTTCAGGTACAAAAGCTCAACTCTGCAGTTGTTCTCTAATGAATGGTCGGTACCATTGCCTAAATGACATCTTTTCTATCCTTTTCATCATTTTTGTACATATCTAGGTGCCTGGTCTCATCAGTATCAAACAAATTATTTGTGACATTATTTCTTCTTTTTATAAGGCATCTTTCCAGCTATTTTTCAGCTAATTAAATGAATCTTTTATAAAAATCAGCGGTTTTTTAACATCTGATTAAAATTCTCATCAATATGCAATGCATTAATTTAACATTTAATCACCTGTATTTCATAATTAAAACACATGCTTAAATAACCCCTCTCATTCTGAAGAATCCCAAAGTACTACAGAAGCTACAATCAGATGTGCTTCTCTGGGAGGAAAGTGCCAGAATACTGTAAGGAAATTTGGCAAAAGATCAAAATCCTACTTCTATTTACAGCACCACTGAAACTTTAAGATATGAACACATAGAGGTGGATCAACTTCTAAGGTCTTTAACATCAGAATAAACTCGAGCAAGGAACTGTGAAAGATCATACTAATAAGTTTTGATTTTATAGTACTAGACAATATGTAGAACTTAAATCTAACATTTGAATGTCTAGCTCCACTTTTCAACTCTGTCATTACCCTGTAGAACAGTCAATATATGACATACCTCTTTGCATCTCGAGTTAAAGGCATATTCCATTTTTCTCCTGGTTTCTGAAATGTAGCACTTCTTCATGACAGGAAAATAATGTGGATACTTTAAAGTAATTTTATATTTGTCTTCCTCAGTCTTCTCTAAACTCTTAATGAAGTCATCAGGAAGGCCTTCTATAGAAAACAATTTAATAAACAATGTTTACCAGAATTACCTACTCCCCTCTCTTTTTCGTGAGATTGTTGCACTTGTTTTGCTGCAATCTAATTTGACATCAGAAATCTCCACGGAAATATAACCCCTCTTTTTACAACTATTTGCTAAAACTTTTTCAAATCACAACCAAGCAAAATAAAAATTGGAAATGCTTGTGAGCAAAAGAGAAATATATGTAAGGCTACCAGATAAAACTGAATATGACATTAAAAAATCTCTGATGTTTTAAAACACATTTTATGCCATGCCCTTCAGACAAATTCTCTGTCACATAAAATCTCTAGATCAGTTTAAATGATTAAAAGTAGCTAAAATACATTGCAGGACAGAAAAGTTTTTCCAATAATTGCAATGAATATAATACACAGGGGATTGCCTGATGGTGGAGAACTGAGAAAAGAAGCAGAGAAGAGTAAAGTTATGAAAAAAAAAAAAAAAAGTAGGACAGATATGCCAACTTGATGCAAGGTAAACACTTCAGGAAGCACAAATCTATGAAGAGATCATAAACACCCGCAAAGAGTAATTCTAAACTGACTTTGGGGAAGGATTAAAAAGGAAACAGGGAAGACTGGAAAACAGTCAGAATTTCACTTGATCTAACCATCAGTCACAAGGCCAAAAACGATGACTCCAGTAAAACTGGAAAGCTGAAGAAATGGAAAGAGCAAGCCTACTACTCACCCAGTTCTTCCTTAGAAAATACAAGAAATGTGTTTTCCTCATTCAGGTTTTTGTTAAAGTCTATACACAGCTCACTCAATTTTTTCTTCATCGTCTTTATTTCCTGTATGGGGTATAAACTAAACTTAGTGGAAAAACAAAAATCAAACTTGGCAATTACTATCCTCCACATAAATAGTATTTCACTTTTTCCAGATAGGCTTTCTACTAGCCGACAGTGAATTCAGTTGAGTAAGTAACACACTGCAGGTAGCTCCATACTTCGCTCTCCCTCAGCCTCCCTCTTATCTTTCTTTTGGTCCTGAGCCATATTGTTGCCAATGAACCCTGGGTTGGGGCTATTGCTCCAACAACATTTCAAATGTGTTCTCAACTCAAGAGGGGACTGAAGACACAAACACATACTCTGACCAGCATTATGTGCTAACATTCAATTATTTTCTTTTATTTGAAAAGCATAAATTACAATTTTAAGTGTAAAAATATCCACTAAAACAAAGGAGAATCAAGGGAGTAAAAATGCATGCAATCTATTGAAAAACACTCCTTTGGAATTGTACCGGTATGACAAAAAGAAGAGAATACCCACACAAGACAAGACCATTCCAAAACCTGTTTTCAAACCCTGATATTCATGCATCTGAAACATGTTCTAATATATCTCATAGCATGTTTCTGCCCCTTACATAAACACAGTATGTTATCAGTAGAAGAATACACACCAAATAAAAAACTTGGCAGAGACTGTAATTCGTCAAGTTTTTACTTAAATGTAATTCAACTATTGCATCCTTATAAAATATTTCAAAATTCCTTTAGAGGCATCAGTTGCCTTTAAGCAATGCAAACACACGTGAAACTGTTCCCACTAACTGAAGGATGTGGATGAAGAATTATTATTTTCTACAAAAAGTATAGTCTATTCAAGAGTCATAAATCCAGATTGTTATACAACATCACTCAGAATTTGAAAGGAATTATGTCAGCATCTCAGATACTGTCAATTTTACTTCATGATTTTCAGAAGTGAGAAGTGCTTTTACAGGCTTGAGTAAATCCTCCGTTAATGGAGCCAAAATTCTCAGCGCGGCTTGTGCTCCCTTTAAGCTACCTCAAGTTTTTTTAGTCAAAATGCTAAAATCTTGGACACATTTTACAACATCGGTTAATAACTGAAATTAAAATAACTGAGTCTTTGTAACAATTGCACAGACTTCTGAAGCCGGGACTCAGAAATAACATTTTTGAGAGGTCTCTTGGCTAGGCATCTATCTAATTTAGGCACTCACTGTAATCAGAATACACAACAACACTCCTCCAGATAGGCTTCTTTTACTCTGTAAGGCTAAGAGAGGTGATGTATAACACCTCTATCCACTGAATACCATGGGTGTCTAACAGATTAATTTAAAAACCTTAAGGTGATTGAAGTTTAAAGGATGGATCTGGAACTAAGAACAGTTAAGATTAGAGCATTAATTAAGCAGGTCCAAAAGCACGAAGTTCAAATATATGCTTAGTATAGCTATACAACCCTTCAACAGTTTGTCAACTTTGCTTTATAAACTAATAGTCCATATTTACATTCTGCACTTCTTTAGGAAGATGGAGTCCGTTTCTTTTTCCCACTTGAACCGATTTCTGTAGATATCGCTTTGTTTCAGGCTTTACATTTTCAAGATCACAGGTTTGCTGAAATGACAGTATAGAATAATTGAATTTACAACATGGTGTAAGAAACATACCAAGCATTAGAAGCATCTAAACAGAGTTGTTTTTTAGAATACCACCATAGTGAAAAAAGAACATCCTGGATTTTGGTGTGAAGGACTTTCCAAAACCAGTTACTTTATACAATAGTATTCTTATATTTATGTAGCATGGTTTTAAAATAATTTTCTTTTGCCCAAGTATCTCTGCACATTTACATGCTGTCATAATGGCAAGCCCTTTTAGTTTATAGTACAGTGCACTTAAGCTTTTCCTGTAGAGATAGCTTTCTTACACATACTTAAAGAAAATCAGTGCTATAAGGTAACACTGCACCTTAAAACTTAGAGGGATTAAAAAAACCCAAAAGATTAGATATGTCACTGAAGGTTATCAGATGGCATAAAATTTGAGCATATACATCTTCTCTTTCAGAACAAGTCAATCAGTGACAACAAATAAAACAGTATTTCTATGTCTGGTTATGCCATTACGAAGTTTCTTGAATGGTCATTTCCTAAAGCAACCAACATTAAGAGACAAGATACTGGTTGTAATAGAACATGGATCAGTCCTGTGAGGGTCTTCTTCAAACTGACTATAGCATAACTGCTTAATTCAGAAATTTGCCATTTTGTCCTAAATTGAAAATAATTCTGTACACATTCTAATTTTATCTTGCCTCATCTAAAAATGAACATTTAAAAAAGGTATTAACTTATAGTCCTTCTTAAAAAGGACATATCCTACTTAAGTTCACCTTCAAATATAAAGCTGTTGGAATTAGCTCTGACTTGTCTTAACAACCCTCTCATCGGCTTACCTACATACAATTAATTCTTGACTAGCACCTCTGAAAAGTAAGGATGTTGAAACATGCAAATTTTATGAAAGAGTTACACAACTGTGTACAGCTGTCAACTAATGACCTGCCAGTGCAAATTACTTCTCAAACAGAAAAAATAAGACACAGGAAGCTAGTTGTATTCTAAGAGAAAATAAATAGGAATAAAAACTCCGAAACAGATATTTTTCCAGCTGTCATTTAAAAATAATCCACACAACAACACATAAATACTGTCTACTCCCACCAGTGCCCTGCATATAGGATTAAAAAATTAGTGGAAATTGGTTTTTAGAACCATGAAAGAGCTTAAAACAGTTTAGCTTTGTTTCTACCCTGCCAAGAGTCACAAGTCTCAGTAGCATTATTCTACAGCAGGACTGCTAAGAGTTAGTACAATTGTGCCTAAAACTCTTATGCATATACCAATAGTCTATATGCAAGAATTTCTAAATCCAGTGAAAAAAATTACAACAATCACTTCACTTTGTGATAAACTAACTTTTCTAAAGCAATAGGCAGATTTAACTTAGTTTACCAATACTGTCATATGATGAAGGATGAATATTTTTTCTTTTTAATATTATCTGTTTACAGGTAATTTTTAAAAGAATCCATAGTCTCATGAAAGGATGATTAACTACTATAGGTCACCACACAGCTAAAGTCAATGATAATTGAGCCATGTGATTGCATGGTGTACCCTTCACCATGGCTATGATTTTTTTTGCAGCACTCGGCCATCGCTTTTTTTTTTTTTTTAAATAAAAGGATGTAAATGGTGGAAAGTAAGTGAAGAAAATCACGCCACCTGTCCTCTCCAAGTCAAACCTCACATCTCCATCCTCATTTGTGATAAATGCATAAGCCAACACAAAGAATATTTCCCAACACAAAGATAAAAAGAATGCTATTACCCTACTCCCTGCGACACTCGGGCTTCCTGTTGTGCTTCTGGCAAAGAATACTCCCTGAAATTCTGCACCTTTATGAGGATATTTATGCTACCAAGCACTACATCTACGACTGTCAATGCTGTAATATTGAGTACAAAAATATTTGTAGCAATCACAATTTTCACATACTGTTTTTCCACTGATCAACCCACAATTCCAGGATTCTTTTTTCTGATCTGAGACTGGTGTGATAGAAAAAGCACGACTTCAAAATGACAGAGGTGAAAAATGCAGATACTGTCACTACATTAACATTTATATTGTGCTAACCGTGCTGCAAGACTCAAAAATAGAAAGGTTGAGAAAAAAATTGGAGTACTCTAATCTCTGTAAAAAGACACTGTTTTTATTACAGTAACACTAAGGGCAGAGGATTGTGAAAAGTGTCACTGAGTTATTTAAGCATTGTGAGGGATCTCCCAGCATATGGGCATATCCTGAAAATCTCTTGGGCCCAAACCCAGCAAAGATTTTAGGCAGAAGAAGCAAATTCACAAACACTAATTTTAAGCCCTTAAAGCCAGTGAATATTGGCTCCTTCTAAAGCTAAGAAAGAGAAAGATTCTTTTGGGAAAAAGTAGGAGAAAACTAAGTTAGTGTTCTTCATCCTTCTCTTGATGACTATACACCTCTCCATACAGTTCAAAAGAAATCAATGCTAAATAGCTTCTAGTCTTAATATTAGCCTTTTTGAAGATAAGGCTTAAGATAAGGATGATACACTTTCAAAAAGACCTGTCAGGTCTTCAAGGATAAGCAAGCGTATAAACCCTCACAGGCACAGGCACCATGGATGCTCTGTGGTCATCTCTGAACTTGGGTCTGGTCAGGATGGTCTATGTCATCCTGTGTTTCTTTGATGAACAATTTCCACAACAGAAGTGCTAATTTTGAATATACTACACACATGAAATTTTGGAACTTTCCAGAAGTTTTAGAATGGTCATGGTTGATGATTTTATATACCATGCCATACTTATTTTGGACAACTATGCTACCTTATTCCATGAAGAAATCTTCAAGCAGAATAAGAAACAAAATCTACTTAGAATATCATGAACAAAAACTGCAGCAGCTGTTTACATCAGGCTGAGTTTGCTGCAGGCGTGTGGGTGGAGAAGATTGGCAACATTCTTAAGCATGCCTCTGCTAGCCAACATGTGCAGATGTTAGGAGTAATAACATTTAAAATGATAGTTTCATTAACAAATTCACTTTTATTCCAAGTTTCAGACTCCAAAATAAAAGTTTTCTAAAGAATAAGATCTGGAGCATATTCAACAACATAAATTTATGCAGGAATTTTTCCCCCTAACGTGTGGGGAAAAGAAAGAGACTAGATTATTTTCAGTTTTGGTGGTTTTTTTTTTTAAATTAAATTCAAAAACCTCACACATCTTCCACCATCAACAGTTCTTAAATAAAGCAGAATTTAGAAAGAATACTAAACAGTTGTTAACTTAGAAAAGTTCAGTCCTCGTTAAAGGGAGCAAAAATATTCAGGATGTCACTGAGATCAAGCACATCTACTCATCTTTTAGTGGACTGGCTGTTATAAATAACATGGGAGTGTGAGGGCCCTCATTCTCCTCGCTGCATTTTAATCTGACCCCTGGGCAGGATCATGAAACTGAATTCATATACCTGAACAATTAAATCCTTGGTGAGGCCACGAAAAACCTGATTTAATCAAAATGTTTTACTGGCTCATTTAAACTGATAAAATTATTTTAGCAAAATATTTCTGTTTGTGGAAGTCCTTTTTTTCAGATGCTCCTGGAACCTGATTTTTCAACTAAGAGTTTCTAACAGGAGAATGCATTAGAAATTTAACAAAAATTAACAAGAACTTTGTGATTTGGAAATAGCAAGACTTGGTCAGTCTGGCACTATTGGCAATTTCACACCTGTTCTACAGCAAAAAGCTGCTACTACTTTCATAGTTATTATGAAGTCGATATATGCTTAGAGGTTGCATCTCTGGAAAACTAATACTAAAACATGCTTGCATGCTGGAATTAAGCCAATAAAAATCTCTCAAAAAATTAAATGGAGATTTAAGCAACAATTGTAACTGTTATAAAAGCCAAGTATTGCTGCAAAGGAAAATGAAGTAGGAAAGCATGAAATGAAAAAGATTTTTTGAAAAAGATTATAAGAAAGTAATGCTAGCAAATAACAGCAATCAGTTTTCACTAGCTACTACCAGAAATTCCTGTAAATTAAAAATAGATAGATACACAGATACGGCAGATTAGCCCTAAGTGTATCTGTGTATACTATACTGAAAGGTGGGGAAAATCACAGCAAATAATAATACCTATCAAACCATTTAATTAATAGCAACAGAACAGGGAAACAAAATCAACATAAAGCACAGAGGGGAAAAAAAAAAAATCAACATAAGGCACTATCTGTCAACACACAACAAAAGGTCCTCAAAATGGGCCTATTAAATACCTCCACAAACACATAAACACCAATACCCAGCTAGAGGAGAACACCTGAAAATATGCCTAGAAAACACAGCAATAGAAGACAATCGTATTGGAAGGCACTTTAGTAAGGTGCTGCAAACATTATTCTGGTTCCCAGCCAATGCTGCAAAGAGCACAAACAACAACTTCAAGAAATAGGGCTCCAATATATTAGCAAGGTTAAAAATCGGTGGGATTGAAAGGGAAGACTCATGTCTGAAGCATGGACAAATGTGTGCACTTTAGTTTTCACATCAGATAGCTTCCTTGCATTATCTTTAAATTACACTTTTGGAAAATTATTACTAAATGTCACTAGATGCATTTGACTAAAAACAAATGTTCTTCCTGTTTGAGTTACAAAATAAACAGTACAAATGAAGAATACAAGATACCTGTAGGTGCTCAATTAGAAGGGAAGCTAAACAGAAACACAAAAGGGATAGAAACTAGGTCAGCACTAAACGTATCTTTTGACTTAGTTTTATTTTGAGGCTTAAGCAACATATGAGGAGGACTATACAATGTAGCTGTCTATAATTAGCAGATCAAACGAGGTAATTTCAGAGGTGACTCCCAGTTGTATGTTCTTATTAACTTCATAACTTAAAACTCAACTTTAAAATTTAAAATTCTCAACTTCAATAAACAGCAATGTTGGACACTAATTCAAAAGCAGTATAAGCCAACCTAAATACATTGCTATATTGCCTCTCTTCTTCCCCCTGCCCCTTGTTGATGCTCTGGGCAAACGAGTTCAGGGAGCTCAGCCAGCAGAAAACAGTAACATTTCTTTTTCCTGATGGGTTTCCTTATGCTAGTTTAGCTTCCTTGTACCACCTCATTGGAAGATTAGACAAAAGTCAAAGCCATTGCAATGGAGAGAGAAGGATACACACACCTAGACATGAGACGCAAAGAGTGGGAGTACCAAGTTATACTGGCTTAAGTTTTTGTGGAACTACAGCCTTTTTGTATAGCAGTGTCCCGCTGGAAAGATTTGACTGGTACAGGCACAGGGGAAACACACACAGTGATGGGGATCTTGAAAAGCACTGTGGATACTAACTGCTTTAGAGAAAAGTTTTTCAGTGCTAGAATTTTATCTACATTTCCACAAATTATGCAGATATCATTGTGATTTACCTGCAAATAAACAATCTTCTGAAACACATCTTCTCTCATGCTCATCTCCACATCAAAATTTGAAAGCTTTTTGTCAGCTTCTGTACTTGCTAAGCGTACCTCTTTGTCAGCTGAGACATGCTGGGGAAAATCCAACATGCTTCTTTCCACTGTTTAAATAAAAGGCAATGAACACTTACACAGAAGGCTAGAAATGTTTTAAGGATAAGGAACTTCCCCCCTTCTGATATTTATAGAACAGATAAGAAACAAGTACCCAAAGCAGCCTGACACTTCAGATCAGGCTTGAAGCAAGTAAAGTGATTACAGATAATGTACAAATGAATAGGTGAAAGGACAAAACCGCACACCATTATAACAAATAAACATTTTACAGAAACTATCTATTATCCAAGCCTAATTATCTTATCTTCTTACTTCTACAAAATCAACTGAAAGGTGTATAAATATGATACATGATTTTTGAAAGACCAACCATTTTTAAGTGAAGACTGACATTGTTTCATAGCTGGCACAGATGCTTCTGTGTTAGCATTTAAAGTGAAAATCTCTGAATCTTTCTAAAAGACCCATCTGTCCTGAAATTATTTTTACACTATTATGAGAACAGTGTCAAATCCCCATCTTCTCTTCTGTGTTTAAGGAGAAACAATAAGGCAAACGTAGAAGATGCTGTCTATGTATTCTGAACTTCTAGAAATGAGAAGCTGAGTAATACTACTTTTTTAGAATACACTTCTGAGATTAAGTAAATCCTTGCTTATTAAAGGAATATTGCATTTTATAATGATGTTGAATAGAAATGCTAAAATAGAAATTAATAATGATGACCAGCTGAATCAACTTAATTCAAAACCAATTATAATTTCACTGCCCTTCACCTCCCCAAAAGCACATTTTAGAGTAACAACATTTTAGGATGATTTAAAGCTTTTTAATTTTATGTAATCTGAAGTTTTTTTATCAAACCCTGAGATACTCTCAGCCCTTTAGAAACCTTTGGAATGCAAACATGGGCGTATGGTTCTTCTTGAAGTCCGCCAGAAACGCCCCCCCCCCCACCTCCTGTCCTCATGCCAAGATGTTTCAAAACGATGAAGTGAGTTTTGGGAGCTTCCAAGTGAATTGTAAGGCCTGTTGTCATCTGTGTCTTTTCAGATAATAAGTTCCAGTTACTGGGGTAGGTCTTTCATGTACATGTGAAAAGGATACACAGGCCTTAAAAATCCAAGGTTCTAATGGAAGTCTTGATGTGGTGATACATCCCTACCATATGCCATGGGCTGTTTCACAGGTAAGTCATGCAATTTCACATACAGCTTTGAAGATTAGCATTAAAAGTTTAAATATGACCCACTACTGCAAGAGCATGTAGAGAAAAAAGTACGTCTTGGAAGATGCAAGTCTTGGTGGCTATGCTGAGAAGTTGATGGCCACTATTTTCTGAATCAAACATAGATTTTCCTTCTAATTTATTTTAAAGCAGAGAGTTTTATATTTGGTGAAAAGGCTTACAATAATTATACCAAATAGATTGGTACAACTAACACTGGATCTGACACGAAGCTGTTTGGATGAAGATTACTCAGTCTTTCTGCCAGCATCAATTCCAGGCAATTCACTGGATGTGCCTAAACTGTAATTCTAAGTAATGTGAAAGCCAGACTAATATTACAGTACAATCATTTAAGCTGCAGGCTGCTTTTTTTTGCTAAGTGAAGATTTTGCTCCAAGCCAAGGTGGCTGTTTTCAGCACTTCTGTTGCTCATGCAGATTTTTTTAGAGGATTTAAGAGAATTTGACGTTTTATTACACTGACTACTTTTTGAGAGTCATCCAGCCACCATCTGATAGGTTTTTCAAAACAAAGCCACCCAAGACACATTTTTATTCTTCCCATCTCCTCTGACTGACAATTACTAACAAATTAACTGAATGACCTGTGTTTGATGATTAAACTCCATCCATGTATTGGCATGTCTTAGTAATTCATTCAGAACAATCTAGATGTGACTGCATGACCAACACCTCTCCCTGGATTCTTCAAGGCCTTGCAGGCCATAATATAAAAGTGAGCAAGCAAGGCAGTCTTCTTTCAAAAAAGCATTCAAAAATTCCCCCATTCTCAACGATCACATTTTCTCCACTAGGAGCTTATCAACATTTCCATTGTTCCATTTAACTTGCTTGTCTCAGATTCTGCAGCGTCTGAAAAAAGCACTGCTGATCAGGTTTGAATGTACTATGCATACCACAGCCGCTGTAGTCTACACCGTTGCACATTGTCCCCCAGCGGTTGTACACAGTTAGAAAAGAAAATATAACTGTGTGGAGCCTCACATGCAAAAAGAAAACAGTGACCAATGCAGTTCTCTGGATGCATCAAAGAGATCAACAGCAGAGTTTTGCTAATCCTTATTTTCGTCTCTAGAATAAAGCAGCAGAACTTTGCAGATGATTGTGTTACATATTGCTGAGAGGTCCTGAAAGATTATTATGACCAGAGGACCCTTGAGAGGCCTCTACACATTCTACGCAAGAACAGCATGGATCAGAATCGTACCTCTTCTCAATGTGCAGATGGAATGCCCTATGGAAAGAATCACAGAAAAAGTTCACTAACCTGCGTATTCCACTTCTATATCTGCCAAGGCCCGTACAGTATTTTCATGTGTTACTTCTCCAATATCAAGCATCCCAACACTGTCATATACATATTTTGTCTTCCTGATTAGTTCTTCTGTTCTTGTTCTAATTTGCTCTGGTGACAGGTCCCATCTCAACAGGTTTCGGCCTGATGCAATGTATGAAGAAGCTTTGAGCTGGCTAGTGATTTCTGCTCCTAATGTCATTCTCAAAACAAGCCGTGGCCCAACGGACCTGAAAGTATAAAAATGATCTTAGCATAGCAAGATTCTAGTTCAAGAGGTAGTTTATAGTAAATGTTAAAAAAAAGGCAACAGACCTTTAACAATTACAGAGTATTTTTAGAAGCAAGAACAAAGTCCTTTTCACAGCCATAGCTTGTCCAGGAGAACCATACACAGCCATTACCCTTAATTGATAAGTCTAATTTTAAATACATCAGAGGTCTGACTTCCACCTTTTCCATATAGAGGATGACTAAGTGCGTACAGGGATAAAAACTTTGGAATTTACAAAACCAGACAGATTAAGTTACTATTCAATCTTCTAAGAAAAACACAATTACGGTTACTGAAACTCTACAAAAACAGATAGTATTTCCATTTTTGAAATAAGGAATAAAACCCACATAGTGATTTGTAGATTATAAAGGCCAAGAACTGCAAAGATGCACAAAGCAAGACACAAAAAAAAGTAATTTAGTCATGTTCATTATAACAAATAATTTTATATTTATACAGGATGTCTGCCACATAATCAACTGTGGGAGGAAAACTTTTAGTTGTTACTCACTTGAAAATTTACTCCTTTAATTGTTGTGGATTTTAAATAGACAGTTGCACTCTATTGCCAGAAGAGGAATATAAGTTTACTGTAATTTACGTACTGTTAATCCTGATTATATAAATCAACTATATTTCAGCTTTAGCTGGCAGAAAAGTTTACATATGTAACAGATCTTAGTGTGCTGTGCAATCAATGGCTGCCTTTCCACTGATCTCTTTGACAATATTTAAAAAAGAAAAAATGTGACTTGGAGCAACAAATCCAAATATAAGTTAAGAAGATACTGGCTTCAGAAATACAGGCTTCTACCCTCCCACACCAACAAACCAACACTCAACTTGGTTATATAAAGGAGAAGGATACAAACTCAGGCAACTGACTGAGTGGGGCTAATAGAAACCCATACAGTCAACAAGATGTCCACCTGGCAACTACATTAATAGCTCAGTTATATATGAAGTAGTTGCTGAGGAAGGTGATAATTTGATGGTAATTAAAAGACAGCTTGCATTCAAGGAGTAAAACTTGCTGCCGTCTTTAGTATCATAGGAGGATCACAGGAGCATCATAGGAGGATCTCTGGCTGGCAGAGACATACTATCTGTCTCCCTATTTCAGTTGCATAATTAAAAAAAAAAAAAAAAATCACATGTTGTTATGGTAATAACAACAACCTAAAATTTTCAACCATAACTAAAGAAATACAAGAACACACACAGAGAGCTTGCTATTAAAAGGGATGTTTACTTAACACTATTTTATTAGTTAAATACCTTTTTCTCTTAAAAGCCACTGTACCTGTATTAATTTATTGCAAAACCAGTCTGGTATGTGCATAAGTGCTCAGCTAGGTTTTGGCATACAATGCAGGGAGCACACATAAAAGGATAGGCAATTTTAGCCTGAAGAAATAACAAAGCAGAAGAGTGAAATGCCAACAAGCTGAAAAGAGCCACACGCAAGGCTTCTGTTTGAAGGCAAGACTTCTTGTTAAAAGTCTCACTCGTCCATAACAGGAATTCTCTAGAAATAGGCTAGCCAAAATTATTTTTATGCAAGACAAAAATGAAAGACAACATTTCTATCTACACTTTATGTTGAGAATTTTTTTTTCCTTGTTACCACAGCTTATTCAAATCCTGCCATACCAGTGAAGGCAAGATGTTTACTTTTCCCTTCTACTGGTGTATAGAAACATCAATGTCCAGCACATTCATGATTTAACTCTGAAAATGAAGCCTGAATAAAGAATATTCCTTCCACCTCTGTTCTACCTCTCTGATACCAACTCAGTTCTGACATTAATGCCTTAGTAGCTGAAACTTTGAATCTCAGAAGTTTATGATAAATGAAGCTGCTTTCATGAAAACAAAAGGTTAAGTATTAGCATTCTCAGAATGCATTAGTTTCCCATCCCCCAAAACCACTGAACTCTACCCTGAATCTACAAATCCATTAAAGAACAGTACTTCATCAAGTCATGAACAGCTTCCCACTGGACTGTCCTATGTCTAGTTTTCCACACATTGCTAGTGCAGCTCTAGTACAACCTCATGGGAGCTGAAGGGGAACCTCCTCAAAAGTAGGTTCAAGGCTGTGATCTCCACCCCTCCCCTCCCCCCCGAGAACGTCAGAAAGAATACGAAATGTGCCAAATTAAGATCAAAATAAAAGTAAAATAAAATCAAAGGAAAACAACAGCCTGAACAATAAAAAACAATGTGTGAGTAAAAATACATGCATAGGTGAAATCTTGACCATTTCTTTCATGGCTTAGTATTTCATATTCTTTGTCTACATAAAACTATAAATAAATAAATTCCCCAAACTCCATGTATCATACTGCCATAAAATTGATAATTTACTAACTTTATCTTATTTGTTAAAGAAAGAAGCAAAGAAACAATAACAAAATTAAAGATTAAATGGACTATAAAGAAACAAGAAAGAGTATAGCTAAAATAGTATAACTGTTTCAAAAATGCTCTGCAACTACACTTGTCATGTTATTAGAGTGAAAATACTACAGTAAATTGTATCACTGAGGGAAACTTTAATTTCCCAGATATAAACTGGAAAATAAATTCTATTAATAATGGTAGGAACCAGATGCAACAGCAAACAGCTTTCTTCAAATAGCAACTGAACCAACAAGATGCAATTGTTATTTTAGGCTTGCTTTTGGTAAACGGCAGCAACGTTATAGAACAGCCAACCATTGCTTGGACTGAGCAATCAGAAGTTGATGCAGTTTAAATTAGATGGAAGGATAAAAAAATGTAGGTCTGTAAATAATATTACATGTATACTGCAATTATCCCATGTGGCCATGGGTAGACTATTGCTAATGCCCGAATTGACTAGTTCAAACTGTTTTGGATATTACACTCAATTTTCTGCAGTGCAGTGTAGAACGGTAAACATATCTAAGGATATGGTTGGTGTCCTGCAGCAGTATTGCCTTAAGATACTATTCTTCTTTCCCGTTCCTCCCTCTGCTCGTTTCTGTCCCTGTACACATCAATGACAGCAACATAACTGTTGGTAGGGTCATACTTTGAGAGGAGTCAGGACAGCCTATAGGTGAAAAATGAAATGGACCAAAAAAATGCAGGCAGGACAGCTTTTTTTCAGCTTATCAGTTCCACCATCTATTTGATATGCAACTTCAAAACAGTTATGCTGGCCTAAACGAAGGATTAAAAGTGTCAATAGCCACCTAAGGCTGCACTACTGCAAGAAACACATATGAAATGCATGGATTTAGTCTAGCAAAAAAAGTCTCAAGATGATTGCTGTCATTAAGCATATCATTAAATGCCCCAAAGTGAAAAGAGCTGTTGATGCTAAGAGGCAATACTGACATGAGAACAAATTAGAATAAATTGGTCAGGAATACACGTAAGCTAGAATTTTAAGAGACGTTTATAACCATGAGGGCAGTGAGATTCTGAAACAGCTGCCCAATAAGCATCAGGAAGTGAAAACACCTTTATTTATAACATGGAGCTTGACCAGCTTATAAAATGGATTATATCACTTGGTTACCTACGGTAGCACAGGACTAGACTTGATCACCCCAATTGTCCCTTCCAGTCCTTATGTTCCTGTGAGGTCCTTCAAAATTAAAGCACCTTTATTTACATTGCATTTTTACTATGAATATTAACTGGCCTCTGTTGGCAACTTGCCCCGACCTTTTTCTTGGGTGAGTCCTATGGCATCTAATAATGTCAGTGGAATGACATACAGGGCAGACTGAAACACACTATGCATTTGTGCACTGCTTCATCCATCTATGAGAGGGTCAGGAGGAAAGGCACAGAAGGTCTGGTTTGGACTTTCAGCTACAACACAGGGTACAATAGACGCAGCTGTTTTCACAAAGTATGGTAGTAATCTGCCAATCCCAAAAGCAGTAAGAATGGTAATTTCTTCCAAAAGCAGTGTAAGCTGAAAAATAACTTAAAAGCTTAGTAGCTACTTCTAAAAGAGGATTTTGAAGAAGAAAACAAACCTTCCAAGCTACAGACTGCAATTGTTATTTTTGCTAGAATGCCAGGTAATTTATTTTACCAACAAATCTACAATTTGATTACTTGCTGCCTCTGGAAAATACAACTTTGATTTCATTTTAGAAAGGAGAAGGACCTTTATAATACTCCATTATAGCAATACAGTGGCCAACATAACTTCTGCAAAGACAAACAAAGCAATTGAATTTACAGACTGATTTTTAACTTGTGCAGTAAGTATTTTAAACATATTAAACATTTATGTAAGTCTGGTTTTGTTTAGAAACATTTTCCGTAACTGGAACATGCCAAGTAACCCTTTGTTGGCATGTTCCATTAACGCTATTAAAATAAACCAAGAAAGCCACAATCTATGATGCAGAAGCAGCAAAGGGTAGTACCAGCTTTAGAAAATACAAACACAAAAACCTGCAAGCTTGTCCACAATATGCTCCTACTACTAATAATCACTTTATAATATGGTCAAGATTTAAGCCTGCTGTCTCATTTAACTCCAATTACATATGGATAGCTATGACTCCATCCAAGACTCTTCAATGGTACTCCCAGTTTTCAAATTAATCTTCACCTAAACAGTACTAGTTAAAATGACAAGTATAATTTTACAGAATAAAGTGTATTAACAGATGTATTTCTGGCAAACATATATACAGACCAGTTCATTGAACTTGCTAATACATCTGACAGTTCCATGTAGCCACACAAAAATCAGAGTATATCAGCTTCACATAGGATGGAAAACCATATTACCTGCTGACAAATTCAGATAACTTAGCCATCTTCTAGTTTCTAAATACTCTAATGGCAAATAAATACAATTAAGTTTTTCTTGCTGCACCTTATGTATACTTCAGGGGACATTCCTATGGATATAAGTAAAAGCAGATTTGCAAATCACAGCGAACACAACGAACAACTTTTTCAATCAGTAATTTACTGTATGAAGCTTTGTAGAAGCTGCCAATTTCAAATTAAGAACAGTAAGACCATTTTTCGTCCTTCTATCTTTTGGAACAGCAGATCTTAGTTAAACAACACTTCCTAGTCTTACAGGCTGCAGGAGAAGCAGCGCTGCGTGCCGGATGCCAGCACTGTGCCTGTGAAGACCATGTTTCCCGGGTACCTGCCATAACACCCACAGGGACTCAGTGCTTTGACTCCACCTAGCGCCCTTGTCACAAAAAAGGCAAAGCAAAAAACGAGACACTAAGGCAATATAAAAACTGACAGTTTGCCTCAGGACAAATTATTTAATACTTGGATAATATTCGACATGTTGGCATTTCCCTGAAAGTAAGACTCAAGTGCTACCAAACATATATAAATGATAGCAGACAGGCATGGTTTAAGAAAAGCTTTGTAACAGTCATGCCTCGTATGGAATGGAATGCTTTTTTTTTTTAATACAAAGAAGTTAAAAAGCATTTCAGAAACAAACCACAACAAGTATTCAGCAGCATCTAATATAATGTAAGATACATTGCAGTTGGTCTGTGTTCTCAGGATGGATTTTAAGACAGAAATTTAATAGGCTAAAATCTTCGTATTATTTAGAGATCCTTAATTCTTGCTTGAATTTTAAATATATCTCCATATTGTTTCACTTTTGCCTCACAGTTTCAGACAAGAAGTAATTGTATATTTTACAGTAAAGCAAGGACAAAATCAAGCAAAGTAAGCAGAGGACTGAGTAACCCAAGGCAAAAACAAGAATGGGGAGGGGGAAAAAAAAGTCCAAGACAGAACAAGCAAAGCACAGTTGAATAGCTCAAAGCTAATCACCGGTCAACATTATTTCAACTGAGCCCAAGGAATGAGACTATGGCCCCACAATATAAGTAAGTCACCACTTTTTCCAGCTGGACAAACACATTTGAAGTCCTTGTTACACTTCGCTTCTGAGTCCTTTCATCTGTTTCGCTCTTGAAAGTGTACAGAACAGTGAATACATGCCTTGAATTCCTGAGCCATTTTCCTTAGAAAAGTACTTGGCTCTGTGTCATGACTGTGTTTGGCACAGACAGATCTCAATTATAGCAAGAGCATAGCATGTTTAGTACTTCCTAATTTAAAGCTCCATAACTGCCGTTAGAAACTGGTTTTTTTCTTAAGCTGCATTTGAAGGAATAGAAGAAAATCTAGCGCCTTTGAACACCAAACCATTAATTTTGTCACTAAACCTTTCAGAAAAAAAGGATTCTCTGCAACTTAATTCACTGTATACTCTACATTGATTGTACTCCTGTAATAGATATACTTTTAGCTCTTCAGATCAATGTGAGAGAGTCAAAAAACTGCAAGTTACACAAAAATTTTAAAATCTTTATTGATACTTACATTACCCTCAGTGTTGCTTTTATGACCTTACTATCTGGCAACAAATGTTTACTGGTTCTGTGATAGAATTAACATCAACAGCAAAGTAATTGAAAAAGGCACTATGTGGCAACTAACAGAAAATCCAGACCTTAAGAGGGAACTCATACATGTGCATAACATGTTACAATTTACTGACATCCTCTCCCTTTCCCCCCAGCCTCCTCCAACAGCCTTTAAACAAAAGGAATTTGGAAACTGGTCTGATTGACTTTCATAAGAGGAGGTGATTTCCACACAGTAGTCTGGAGTGGAACACACAGAAGTGTCAGGGTACTGTTTCTGCAGAGTGTCTGATCTCTAAAATTACGGTACCCGTGGTTCTAGGGAAACCCCCCGCCCAAACAACCAAGCAAACCCAAACCAAACCCCAAAATTACTAGGACTACTAAACTAGGCTTCAAACCCATTCTGTGAACTGAATCCATTCTGTGTCACAGCAAACCTCCATCATAGCACAACTTGCTTGGAGGATCTGAGAAAGGAAGTTGAGAGACTTTTCAACACTCGCATGCAGACAATAAGTGTACTACACTGAATTTGATGCAGAAGGTGCTCATTAGGGTTATCTTATTGTTTGGTTCTACCATCAGGTGAACCATGGAAACACAGTGGGGGAAAAAATACTGCTTTTAAGGCCCTACAGCTCTCTCGGGTGCTGCTGCATAAGCGTCTATCATATATCTATCATGCCAGCAATATAAACAGCAGGTAAAGTGCATGCTATTTTGTGCAAACACCACACACTATTACTGCCAGGATAGTTCAGTAGTTGAATGCAATCAGCTAATGCATAAAAAACAGCTTTTTTACTCCAACCAAAAAAGAAGTGGTGCTGCAGGACAGAGAAAACTATTGAGGAGGGTTTGTAAAAACAAAACGTTTCTTTGATTTACATGCACAGTTAATCAGTTCAGCCTGTACCATGGAAATACCCTTTAATTTCTCATTGATCTTGAGTCTCATACAGTCAAAGCTATGAGAAATGTTCTTTGCCATCACTACTTTTTAGTTGGAAAACTCTATGCCTTCATAGCAGATGATGACCTAATCTCACTTACTTGCACCATTTTAAGTCACTGTTCTTCTTGGGAACACAGTGCATTGTAGCATGCCATGATTGTTTCAATGCTTGCAAAATCCCAGACAGCACTCTGTGCTACAGTGTGCCTGCTCAACACCACAAAACAGGCAAGCAAATGAAACCTGCTTTCTGCTCTGGCTTTTGAGTGAATAGTGACTTAACAACACTGAATGCTTCCCAGGCTGGTTCCAGGCTACATGAAAGATCATTCCAGCATGATAAGTATGGCCATGAACTTCACTCATTTAACACTCTACAGTAGAAATAAAAAGGGTCCCTGTTAAAGACCATACTCTCTTAGAGATGGTATTTTGCTCAGAGACAAGTGTAATTCCCCCCATCCTCACCTTGCCTTCCCTAATCTAAATACATATAACATGTACTGGAAAAGTCTCCTCCACAGAGGGAACTCTTGACTCACAAATTTATTGGAATTCTTTGAAGAAATCAAAATAAAGAGAGATTAGTTAATATAATCTATTTGATTTCCAAAGACTGTTGACGTACAGGTCCTAAAGAAACCATGCTGCTGTGTGATGACATGGGAGATCCTCTTACAGATAAATCGTTAAAAGCTAGGAAATAAACAGAAATAGCTGCCCATTTTTCTGAATGGAACTAGGTGACCAGTGGAGCCTTGCAGGGTTCCATGCTGGGTTCTGTATTCTTTCACATATTTATACCTCATCTACAAAAAGATGGGATTAATGAAGTGACAAAAATTTACTGATAATATGTACTGATGATAATGCAGTGTACTAAAGGCACCCACAAAAAGATGTGAAGGAATGTCACAACACTGAGTAAAGTTTAAAACCGCTAACAAAGTGAATTTCATTAATAAATGTGAAGTGACACACATCTGACTTTATATACACAGTGATGAGCTGTGAGCTGATCTAATCATTCTGGAGACATAACAGTTTAACAAAAACATCAGCCAAGAAGCAGCTGAAAAGAAGGAAATGGTAGAATTTAGTAGAGGTGGAACAGAGAACAAAACACAAAGGTTCATTAAACCACTCTGTAACAACATGAAGCACACAAATATTATGTGCAGTTCTGATCCTCCTAACAGTTATAAACTCTCTCACCTTCTGTTCTCCCACCTGCCAAAACCCCTTCCTGTTCTACCAAGTCATCGTGAGTTAGTAACAATCAGCTGCAGTGAGCAATGGACTCCATTCAAAGAACAACTAACTAGATGGGGATTCTTCAGATTGGGGGGAAAAAAAAAAAGGACAACAGGGGAAGTCCAGAGATTTATACAACCATGAAGAAGATGGAGAGAATGAACGGAGATCAATTTTTCTCAGGAAGAGATCAAACACAGTTCTAGGAAGCAGTTTCAATGTAAAAAGGTATTACTCGACAAATTTTTGTACAAGATCATATGAGACAACAGTTTTTGTGTTGGGAAGTCCCCAATTCCTAGACTGTTCTGAAAAGGTATACTGAATGTTCATCTTATCTTACACGCTTTCCAAGGTACCTGACCCTGGTTCCTGTAGAAGAAAAGACAGACTTTTGAACTAATCCAAACCATTTAAAGGCATCTTTCCAAGCCAGGCATTTCCTCCTTTATAGAGAGAATGACAGAAAAGGTATGCCCTCAAAATACATTAATTGCATTACTTAGTGTAGTCCAACTGGTGCTCCATGGGTCAAACTCAGTCCACAAAATGCTTCCGAGCCCGACATCTTTGTCTCAGCCAGTCCAGGGAACAATTTTGTTCTGCAAACTGTCTAATAAGCAAACTGTTCTTCTGGAGCCTGCTGTGGTTAGAAAGGTGGCAGCCGTTGCTTCTGACCACAGGAAAAAATTGCTGCTGCAGTACACAGAGGAGGTTGTGCAGTCCATGGAGCACAGGGGAAGGTAAAAATGTTCCAAGAGTCCTGTCTGGCCCTGAGGTGTTGGACCTGACAATGTAATGACAGAATACGCACACACTATGATGATGAGTATGAAATATGAAAGTTCTTCCTGTTTCTTTGCCTTCCAGCGTCATTCCTCCTCCTGCCTCCTTCCCCCAGCCGCAGTTTCTTGCTGGTTTACTTCCTCATCAAGAGAAAAGCCAGTGTTCAGAGTTTGTTTCCAGTGATGGAAATCTAAAATTAGATCTTAAATATAAGTTCTAGTTTTTCCAGAGTTCATGTACATATATTTTCCCATTAAAAAACTGATTTTGAAGATTTTCAAAGAAAGACTCCAGAATTCAAGAATCCTAGAGAA